AGTCAGAGCAAGGCTTTGGGCATGTTTTTTGTGAGAGTATAACATTATAACATGATATAAAACTCAAAAAAGTTGATTTTACATGATATTGCCCCTTTAAATTTGTAATAGACCTGAAAACTGAATATGTTCCGCAAGTTTCTGTAAAATTGATCAAGTGGTTCATTAAATATTTTGGCAGCAGACACAAGCAGTGGGTGATACTGTAATTGTTACCATCTGACAGATGGTTGTGATTAAATCAGATCACGTTTTTAGGACTACAAGAGCCTTGTGTAGATTTCATCCCACCCCCTTTTTTTTGTTTATCAGGGAGTTGGAAAGAAACGACTGAAAAGAATGTTTACACAATAAATACTCTCTAAATGATGCTGGAAACAGTGAAGGCCAAATAACTTGTTTTGCTCTGTTGAACATGCAAGGTGACATTTTTGCAGCTGCAATAGTCGACTTTATCGTCATTTCCAGTTCAATCCGTTTAATTTGAATACTTTGAATGTGATGCTCTGCTCACAGAAATGGAAATTAAAAGCTTTCCCTCATGCGCCATTTTCAGTCAAAACATGAAATGCATATTTTAGTCTTTTCCATTTCAGGTTGGTTTTATTCTTAAATAAAAATCTAGGCTTGAGGTACTCAGAGTCAGCTGCTCTAAAGCTGAAGCTCTTTCTTCTAAAATTAGACTAGATTGAGAACATTCTGCTCTCCCTTTTTCCACCATCAGTCCCTGCTCCAAGTTTCAATCACTTCTCATAAAACAGATTCACTTTTGGAGCTTTCGGCCGCCTGCAGTTGTAGATTAAAGGAGAGCGGTTAGTGTCTGCAAAGTGTAGCATAATCTTCAAAAAGAGAGCTTAACACCTGATGGCCTGCCCTGATGGTCTGTGTGATGGAGGGGAAAAAAGGCTTGGTGTTAAATGATGGGTTTTAGTTGTTTTGAAAGCTGAAAGTAAAGTTGACTGAAGTCGACCAAGGCGGGAGGCGAAATGAAGATGAGAGGAGCATATTAGGAAGACGTTATTAAAGATTAAAAACCACATGTGATGCTGTTCACCTGATCCCGAGCTACACAATGACTCCTTCTACAAACTGTCTGAGCCGCTATCGCTCTATTTTATCCTCGGAGCTGTAAAATACTCCTCAGTGGAGCGAAGGAATGGAAACAATCTCTGTTCAGAGCAAAAAATAAAATAAAAAAAGAGCTGTTTGAAGAAAACAAAGGAATCTGCAGCAGTGAAATTAAATTATGGCTTCATTATTGTTTAACTTTCCACAGTTTTCCAAAATATTCTGTTGAAATAATTACATTGTCAGATGAAACAAATGTTCACTGTGTTTTTTGGGGAAAAATGTTTTGTTTTTGTCGGATGAAAGGATCAGAAATGATTTAAAGTTTTTGTTTCTTTTAATAAATTGTAATTTATTTACCGTATTTATTCAAGTATAATACGTAAAATTAAATCCATAAAATCATCAATAAAGTTGGGGGGTAGTACTATACTCGGATAAACATTTTTACATATGTATTTTAACCGAAATATCGGCTTCATTCACAAAATGCCCGAGTCCGGAAATGAGACCACGACGTAAAAAGCAATTGAAACGAGCTTACCTCTGACACTCCTCCGTGCTTCAGAGCGAGATAATAAACAGATCCAGGCAGGCGACATGATGTGAAAAAAAGGGGAAAAAAGTATTCCTGCACCTTAGTAATGATAACAAACTAATGGCATTAGCGTGTGACCGAGCCGCTCCTCGAACAACAACAAACACATGTTCGTCTGTAATGGCTGCCGTCTACCGGTGTTCTGAAAAAGTTTGTATCCCTGAAAAATGTTTCCCCACCAGAGGGGGCGCTCACGAGTAGGAAGTAATCTGCTTTTCACTCAGAAGATGGCCCAAATCTCATGTGAAGTCTCTGACTTTTGTGTTGGCGCCATATTTTTTTTTATGTTTTTTAAGCTAAAAAAAGGTGTGTGTGTGTGTGTGTGTGTGGGGGGGGGGTGGTTGTATTATACATGAGATCGTATTATACGTGAATAAATATGGTATTTAAAATGCACATATTGCCTATTTAGTAGTTAAAATTTTCAAATAGATTCTTCGGGTAACTGAGTCTCACTGTTTATATCAGGAATAAATGAGGAAAAAAGTCTTATAATGTGCTTTTCGGGGTGGTGGTGGTGGTGATACAAGCAAGGGGGAAAAAGGAAGTAAATATCTTTAAATGGATTTGACTGCAGACATCGTGTGCAGTATTGAGTAACTGGTGACATTAAGCAACCCAGTTCTCTCTGGTCTGCCACCAATGATTTATTTATTTAATTTCAGCAACATATGCTTTCTTATTAAAATAAACTGTTTCAAGTTGTTTAGATGGGTGGGAGGAGTAAGTTCTTTTTATTTCCCTTTGTGGTCGACAAAAACCAATAGTTTAAAGATGAAATTAATAGAATAGAATAGAATAGAATAGAATAGAATAGAATAGAATAGAATAGAATAGAATAGTCTTTATTGTCCCGCAGTTGGGAAATTCAGGTCTCATAGCAGCATCAGTAAAATGGTTCACACACTAGTTACTTTACAAACCATAGACAGTACACACAAAACAAAATTAACACTTACTAGCCATGATACAACAACTAATAATAAAAAAACTAAAAAGATAATATGAAGAATTGTGCAAGAATAGAAAAATGATGTTTTGTTTCAGAATCCAACATTCGGAATCAGAAGTTTCCTGTTTGAGTGCAAAAAAAATTCCAACAGACCAATAGCTGTAAAGTAAAATGAAGTATCACAATACAGACAAAAAAACACAGATGTGCAATTACAGCAGAATATAGTGTAAATGATTGTTTGCTTGAGTAATTACAATTAATAGTAACTGTCTAAACTTTAGACTGTAAAAGAAACAAATCAAAACAAAACAAACTAACTTATGCATTGACATCTAAGAGGTTGAAAGGAAGAAACACGGTTTCCTTTTTTTTAAATTGGGAATGTAATTCTGTGACACAAAGGAAGGGGGCAAGCTAAGAACTGGGGCTTTACACCAACCACTCTACACAAGAGTGACTCCTCAAGTTTAGAAAAAAAAAACAACATTTTGAGTTTCGTAACGGAGTCACCGAAGCTCAGAAAAAAGATTCTTGCTGTTTCATCGATGCAAAATAATTTTACAAAAGATAATATTGACACCAAGAATAATATAAAAACAAACAGAAATAGCTCAAACAATGCAAAACGAAGCTGGAAATAACCAAATTTCTGATTCAGGGTTGACTGATTTCTTTTCGAATAATTAAAAAAAATTTTTAAAACCTGAATCAGTCGTTTGTTTTCACAGTTGCAATACTCTGTATCCAAAATAATTATTTCATTCAG